TGTGTGCATCTTCTTCAGAGAAATGACTATTCAGATGTTTTGCTCATTTTTAAATCGGGCAATTTATCTTTTATTACTATTGTAAGAGTCCTTTATATAGTCTGGATTCAAGTCCCTCATCAGAAATATGATTTGTAAAACTTTTCCACAAACTATATTTTTCACCATCCATTTTTTTATATGTCCTAAATAATATTTTTAAAGATGGGAACTTTCCTGGTAGCTCAGACAGTAAAGAATCCGCTGGCAATGTAGGAGACCCGGATTCAGTCCCTGGATCAGGAAGATGCTCTGGAGAAAGGAATGGCAACCCACTCCAGTGTTCTTGCCTGAAGAATTCCATGGACAGAGGAACCTGGCAGGCTACAGTCATGGGTTGCAAAGAGTTGGACATGACTGAGCGACTAACACTTTCACTTTCAAATAATTTTGAACATGTATGGTCAATCAAACTTTATATAGCACCATTCAGCCACTAAAAGCGATATTATACCCTTCATTGCCACATATTCTAAAACATTATGATCTTTTTTTTAAAAATGCATATAAAATCACCTGGAAGTATATATATCAAAGTGTATAGCAGTCATCTTTAGATGTTGTGATTACATTGATATATTTTAATTTTTAATATCTCTTCTTACTTTTAATGATGAATATATATAGTTCTTATAGTGAATTATTCTCAACTTTTAAAAAAGCCCAGTTGTATAAGAAAATTCCTGCCTCACTTGCAGGCTTGAGTTTGACTGATTCTACCCGTTATTTGGGTAGAATTTTATGTAGGTGGGAACAAGCTGAGCCCACACATGAGCCCGTTTCAACATGAGAACAACCTGAAACTGTGCCTCTCAGTTCCAAAGAAACCACAGCCGGGGAGGGAAGGAGTAAAAGTGTGATTGTGTGTAGGCATTTCATATCAACCTGTATAGCTGGCTTCAGTTTTAAAGCACTTTCAGACATCTTCTTTGATTCTCACAGCAACCCTATTGGACTCCAGTGTTCAGACGATGAAACCAAGTTTCAAAGCGTTTTGTTCTTTCTCAGGGTTGTGTGTCCTAGTTAGTAAGGATGCTAAAACTACTGTTTGGGTTTTCTACTCCTTTTGCAGTATTTGTAATTGATTGCCCTGCCTCTCACACTGTATTCTTTTCTAGAAAATTCTCTCTGAGAGTCAGGTGTGTCTGAAGGATGACATTTTGATACCTGAAAAGACAATGCTGTGTTAACTTGGAGTGCTGTGCATGCTTCGGCTAAGATGGTTGCTAGATGGCTTCACAAACCCCCAAATTCTTTTCTTTAGTGTTCTAACTCAGGAAAGGAAGAGCTTTTGATATATGAATTAATGTATGCCTTGTTTCATGTACTTTTCTATTTTTTCCTCATTTATAATCTTGATTGCTAAGCTGTGAATATTGCTTTCAAGTTGTTGCCCGGATGAAATCATCTTGGCATTTGTGTTGGCTTTATTACTCTTCTATGACTTTTACAGACAACTTTGGAAACAAAGGACCTCTTCTTTACTTCCTTGGCACACTCTTCATCATTTATGAAGATAATAAAGGAAGTTGAATTTTTTTTCCTTTGATGAAATATCTATGGCATTGTCTGAGTTCTCTAGGTTAAATTAGGTCCAAAAAAATCAGAAATAATTTTAAAAGGTTGTGATTTTTTCTAGATTCTAGACAAAAAGTTGGTGTACAAACTTTTTCTGTAAAGACCCAGACAGTAAATGTTTTTGCCTTTGTAGGCCATATAGTGTCTGTTGCAACTAGTCAACTCTGCACTGTAGTGCAAAAGCAGCTGTAGATAATAAGTAAACAAGTGGGCCTGACTATGTCAATAAAACTTTATTTACAAAAGTATTCAGTGAGTAGATTTGGTCTATAGACCACGGTTTGCTGACTCCTGTTTTCAGTTACTTAATCTTTGTCTACCAGGAAGCTTAATTTGTTTGGCTAAGTGATTTGTTACCAGCCATATGTTTCAAAGCCTCTTTCTATCACCACAGATGCCAGTGGATTTTCTCTCAAAAAATAAAATATGATATGTACAAAGTGGCACCACCAACTCAATGGATGTGAGTTTGAGCAAATTCTGGGAGATGGTGGAGGACAGGGAAGCCTGGCGTACTGCAGTCCATGGGGTCACAAAGAGTCGACAGGACTGAACAACTTAACAATGACAACAGCAGAGCTACTTGTATCCACTACATTCTAAGCTCATTAAGAGAGTTAGAAGATGAGTCCAGCATTACTAGATCATCTATTAATCTCTTCCTTTCCAAGGTTAGAGCCCCTGCAAGTTACAATCTAGATGCTTCTTGGTCCAGGAACATATCCCTGACCTCCTCTTGTGTTGTCAACCTCTTTACAATTATAGAAGGTATTCCAGTTTATAAGCTATTCAATGAACATTTTATTTCACTGTGATCATCTGAACCACAGATCTAAAAAGTAACTCTATTAGTCATTTCCTTTGAAATTTACTGAAGGGCAAAATAGTTGTGAAAAGTATTCAATGACTATGTTGACCTAAAAAAAAAAAAAAAAACAAGGCTGCCAGTTATTTCTCCAGAAATAAAAAATTAAGTTCATAAAGGATTGGCAGAAAATTTCAATCTGGGGGTCTGAAACCATGGTGAACGATATGCAAGACTCCACCTGGCAAGGGAAGGAAAATGCTTTTATAGAAGAGGAAAGAATTTGAGAGAGCCGAAGTACACAAAGAGTCCATGACTTTTCACTGGCTAAGTTCTTACCAGGAATGAAGAGGAGCCTCTCTTCTTCCTGTTGGGCTCTGCCGTCCTCCCCAGGGCAGGAAAATTCCCAATTCTGGGCTGCTGGCTCTGTTTCTGTTTATTAATGTTTTTTTACAGTTGAGTCAAGAACAAAACCCATTTTTATGGTCTCTTAGTCACTTTCTCACATTTCATCTCAGTTTTTAGGTAATTAGAAATTGTAAAGCCTTTTAGTAGTAAAGATTCTGGGGTAGAGGCAACATAGGAAGGATTGATTTCTTTTATTATGAGTTTTTTAACTAAAAATTTTCCATGAAAAAAAATTTCTAATAATTTTCACAGGTGTTTCAGAAAAGATTGTTTTTTAATTGTTTGGTAAACACTATATAGAGATATATATTTTTTATATGAGAGACCCTTACCCTAAGAACCTACAAGATTATTTTCCCACTACCAACTTTAAATTAACATTTTTCTCATGTAAAAGTAATATATTTTTATAGAATAAAATTTGGGAAATTTATAAAGTATAAATAAGAAGAGTAAAATCATTCACAACTCCTTAGAAATAACTACTGCTAACATTTTAGTGACATTTAGATAGCTCTTTATGCAAATGTTTACATGTAGATTAGATGCAAAATTTTCACATGCATAAGATTACGACTTAGCTGGTAAAGAATCCACCTGCAATGCAGGAGACCTTGGTTCAATCCTGGGATGGGAAGATCCCCTAGAGAAGGGGAAGGCTACCCACTCCAGTGTTCTGGCCTGGAGAACTCCAAGGACTGTATAGACCATGGAGTCACAAAAAGTCAGACACGACTTTCACTTTCTTCAAGATTATATAAAGTGTTTTTGCAATCTGCCGTTTTGCTGAATAATATATAGTGGATATACTTCTGTCATGATAAATGCAGATCAAAATTAGCTTTAACGGCTACATGGCATTCCACAATGTAGATGTACTTGCTATAACCCACTTAATAATCATCTACTGAGGTATTTTAAGTGCTTTATACTCTTCCACTCTTACAAAGAATGCTTCAGTAAACATTTTTATAGATAGTTCTTGTGCCAGAGTATTTCTCAAGATAAACTACTAAAAGTGCAATTAGAAATGTGTGTACATATATATGTATAATTCTGATATAGAAAAGCTTGTACCCAAATTACATTCTTCCCAACACTTAATGAGAGTGCTTTACACCCTCATCAAACTGGGAAATTTCTATAATTTCTCAGTGGATCAGTTATCAGCATCTTAGCGTGCTTTCTGATTACTGCTGTTGTTTTAATATTTTATATTTTTTAAAACAACACCTACACAGCACTTACTATGTGTCAGAGACTATTCTAGATGTTCCTTTTATTAATATTAACCACTTTAATTTAATCTTCATAGCAATGCAGTGAAGCAGGCACTGTTATTATCATTAACTTGTTGTTGTTTAGTCACTAAATCAGTCCAACTCTTTGCAACTCCATGGACTGCAGCATGCCAGGCTTCTCTGTCCCTTACTGTTTTTTGGAGTTTGCTCATACTCGTGTCCATTGAGTCAGTGATGCCATCCAACCGTCTCATCCTCTGTCACCCCCTTCTCCTACTGCCCTCAATCTTTCCCAGTGAGGGTCTTTTCCAGTGAGTTGGCTATTTGCATCAGATAGCCAAAGTATTGGAGCTTCAGCTTCAGCAGCAGTCCTTTCAGTGTATATTCGGGGTTGATTTCCTTTAGGATTGACTGGTTTGATCTCCTTCCTGTCTAAGGAAATCTCAAGAGTCTTCTCCAACACCACAGTTCAAAAGTATCAGTTTTTTCTAGCTCTGAGCCTTCTTTATGGTTCAGCTCTCACATCTGTACATGACTACTGGAAAAGCTATAGCTTTGACTATATGGACCTTTGTTGGCAAAGTGATGTCTCTGCTTTTGAGTACACTGTCTAGGTTTGTCATAGCTTTTCTTTTAGCATTGCTTTTTCTTTTCTTTTCAAGATACCTTTTGTTAACTCACAGGTGAGAAAACTGTCAAGTAACCTGAAGGTCCTACACCTAATAAGTCATAGAGCCAGGATTTCAATCTTCCTGATTACCCCAATGTCTGTCCTCTAAACCGCTATGCCCTGCTGCTCCTTGGAGGAAAGAAAGGCTTAGCTGCCTAGGAAATGAACCTGGGAAACAGGAGTCAGAAAGTCAAATCCATCTTTTATTTTCAGTATCTTCCACTTTAATTATTTAAAAAATAATCCTTTTGTTTTCTAGGGTATATCAAGGTCAGAAGAAATCAAAAGAAGCTCTGCCCCACTACCAAGAGGCGTTAGAATATACTGAGATCAGTAGAGGTGAAAAAAGTCTTGAGTGTGTACCAATACTGAGGGAACTGGCAGCTGCAGAGCAGGCCCTGGGATTTCACGATGCATCCATCAACAACCTTGTACAGGTAAGCTGCAATGTACTGGCCACCAAAGCTGACCCACTGCTTCTCACAGATAAAAGTGGAATAGCAGCTCTGAGAATGTCTGGCTTAGTTGTGTGCTCTAGATACATACAACACCGCCTGGAGTAAAAGTTCAACAAACATCTTCACATAGGTGCCCACGTGGGCGAGCATGGGATTACCGGTCCTCTGTTACCCGTGCCTGCTCCACAAACAACCTGAGACCCCCTGAAGGTGGCTTTCCCACAGCAGGTGCATAATTTAAGTCTTGTTTCATAGACAGTTTCTTTATTCTTTAAAGTTTATCTATGTACAGATTATGTGACCAAATTTATTAGGGTTATTTTCTACCACATTCTGCAATCTTTACCTGAAGTTACTTAGAATTGTCATCTGGTAACTGCTGTTCCACTTTATCATTAAAAAATTCCTTTGTGAGTGTGTCAGTTAGGGTTCTCCAAAACAGAACCAGTTGGATATATACATAGAGAAAGAGAAGGATTTATTTAAGGAATTGGCTCACACAATTGTGGGGGCTGACAAGTCTGAAATCCATAGGGTGGGTGGGCCAGCTGAAAACGCAAGCAGAGTCTCTATGTCACAGTCCCCCTTCTTTACTGGAACCTCAGCCTTTTGTTCTGTATGAGGCCTACTCATATTGTTGAAGGTAACCTCCTTTATTCAAAGTCTACTGATCATAAATGTTAATCACAACTACAAAGTACATTCAAAGCAACTTTTAGGCTAGTATTTGACCTAACAACTGGCCACCACAGCCTAGCTGAGCTGACACATAAAACTAACCATCACGTCAGTTTAATGTTTTTATATGGTCTTATCTGCCAAAAGCACCTTTTAAATTGTTTTCTGAGAACTTTTCCCTATTAAAGTTGTAAAATATAGACTAACTCATTTTTTATTTCAAATGAGATATAATGATGTAGTACTGAGAGTTCTTTATTGCTATTTATTTTAAAATTTGTATGACTATTTAGACTCCCATGCACAGTTTATTAGAGTGTGCCATTCTCTCACTTTCTCTAGATCATCTCCCTTAAATACTAATACCTATCCTATGATTTATTATTATTATCATTTTATAGATAAGTCAGTCAAGAATTAGGATGGTTGAGTGATATGCCCAGGAGTACACAGTCAATAAATGGCATAGCCCAGATTTAAATGCACTGTTTTTTGAAAGGTAATTCAGGCTGGTATGTAGAGAGTAGACTGGGGAGCGTGTGCCTGGGGTGGAGGTAGACTGAAGTACTGAAGACTGAAGATGGAGCCGGCTTACACCAGGATGATGTTAGTAAGGATGAAGGAGTTGGGTATGACAAACATTTAGGAGGCAGAATTTGTGAGATAATAGAAATTGAAAGGATACAGGACAAAGAGGGAAGGGGAAGAGCCGACAATGACTCCTGGGTTTCTAGTCTGGACACCTGAGACGTGTCTGCCATTTACAGTGGGGGAGCAGGGGTGACTGGGGGGTGACAAGATGGTGAGCTCAGGTTTTGATGGTGAGTCTGAGATGCCCCAAGCAGCAGTGACAGCTAGATAGTTATATAATCAGGACTAGAGTTGAGAAAATAGGTTTAAAAGTCCTCCCCTTGTACACAGTAATTGCCTTGGGAGAGACTGAGATCACCCAGGGAGGCTTTATGGAGTGAGAAGGGAAAAGGACTGATGACAGAGTCCTGAGGAACTTTGGTTGTGTAAAGAAGGATAAATCAGTAAAGGAAAAACGAAGAATTTGCCAGAAAAACAGGAAGAAAAGTAAAGAATAGATATCCTGTTCCTTTTGATGCCTTTTGCTGTTATGGAGGACACGGAGCTGTTGGAAGGAAAAATGACTTAATATTTGTGAAATGTTGAGCACTGTGCCTGCTAGTGCAATATATGAATTTTTAGAAAGTTCTCCCTTTTCTTTTCTTGTTTTTCTTTTTCTTTTATTGAGGACCTAGTTGAGGGAAGCGCTGGGGCACTAATGAGGACAGAATCCAGATTGTACTGTGAATGAGGTGTGAGGAAGCAAAGGTAATATATGCAGATGCCTGCCTCAAAAAGTACCAAGAGGCAGGGAAGACTGACCTAGGCAGGGGGCAGAGTACATGGAAAGTTCTGAAGGTAAGACAAAATCTGACACATTTTGGGGAACTGCAAGGAGTTCCTGATCCCTGGGCAACGGGTGTGGAAAGTCATGGTAAGGAATTTGAGCTGCACCCTGAGGGCAGTTAAGGGTTTTCAAGCAGGGAGAAGGACATCATCAGACTGTCAGTCTAGGAGGGCTGCTCCGCAGCACGGAGAACGGGCCGGACGGCAGAGATCATGACTGTCAGTCTAGGAGGGCTGCTCCGCAGCACGGAGAACGGACCGGACGGCAGAGATCATGACTGTCAGTCTAGGAGGGCTGCTCCGCAGCACGGAGAACGG